GCCGTTTTCATAAAAAAAATCAGAAATGTGCCTGAAGACCCTCTCTTTCTCCTCCTTGCTTTTTGTGCATTGTTCTAGTGTAGTTTGGGTGGGGCCTTTCGCATGTCTTTCATCAACAACCTCCTCGGGAGTTTTGCGAATGATGGAGGCAATTGATTTGTTTTGTTTGGGCATTTTTGGTGGGACATTAAAGAATTGCGAAGCAGCATTTTTTCTCTTGGTTGCTGTCCCAGAACTCGGTTGAGAAGTTGAAGTATCTATTTGAGTGAAAGGTACTTCAGCATCATCCTCATCGCCGTCATCTTCAATCTGGATCGGTTTACTCCTGGATTTCCTCATTAAATATGCTCGCATCTCCGTCATAAGTTCTGTTGTCGTATGAGGACATTTAGCAACATCTCCATACCCGCCAGCTAGATGTTGTTTTAATCTCTTTATGCCAGAAGACATTTGCTTATTACAATGCCTACATTGGACTATGTCTTTGTTGTTCATGTCTGGCCAAAATCCATGATTCCATCCTGGATCATTAGATTTTGCTCTTCTAGCGGGATCATTAGCTGGATCATACACGGTGTCACCTTCATTGTCCGCCATAACTATTGTGTATAAAAAAAGGTTTAAAATAAAATAATGAAAAATTAACTATCCAACTAACAAATAAGAACTAATACAAACAAAAGGTTGAACTATATGTATACGTAATTAACTAATTGTATATAAAATATTTTTTGAAATAGTTTAATAGTTTATAATTTGATAACATATAATTAATTAATGGTTTAAATATTTCATAGTTTATTATTAAACTAATACGAGCTCAGTATATCTATTATATGTATATTACATATTTACATATAATAAATTAATGGTTTAAATATTTCATACTTTATAAAATATAAATAACTTGACAAAAACATATAAATATATAATAAAAAACCACAAATTCACAATCAAATTGCAGTTTTTATTACAAAGAATGAGGAAGTCAATTTGCGGTGCTAAAATTTTATTTTTGTTTCGAACTACCAAGTGGATGAAAAACGATCACATAGAAAAATATTTGACAGATTAAAATGTTTTTTAAAACGAGTATGTTATTTTAAAACGAGTATGAGGCAAAGACAGTCTGTAGACTCTGTACTCTGTACCTTATCGGTACAGAAGTTATCTGCTTCTTACAATTTTTTATAGATAAAAATTGCTCATCATAAATATGATTAGATAAGAAATCGTTACTCAACTGGTGGTCGTATGCTTCAACCTTCAACGACGGACAGGGAGGTGGCTATGGCTATGGCTTGACCGGCGACTTCTTCTTCCCTCTGAAGTCAATCGTTGCTTCTGTGATTTGTGAGTTAATCGATGGCTTCGGGCTATGTATTTAATTAGAAGGTCACCGCCTTAACTTAAAACCTTAATTAAATGTGTTTCCTAAAAAAAATTAAACCTTAATATGCTTTTGGGCCTGCGGACGACTTTCGACTTGGCTAAAATAGGCGGACACAAGTCGAGAAGTTCACGCCAGGACGACGCCTTGGCGACGCCATACGCGACTGGTGAACTTCTGGCGAGTCGATCTCCCAAGTCGATGCCTCTTCATCGCCGCGACGCCTAGTCGACGCCGTGACAACCTTGGGTAATTCAGGAACTGTTGGATGGGGGAATCATCAGGCCCAGTACAAGCCCATATAGTAGCCCAGTGTTGATGGTCAAGAAGAAGGACGGGGGCTGGAGATTTTGTGGAGACTATAGGGCCTTGAATCAAATCACAGTACCCAATAAATTTCCCATCCCAATCATGAGGAGTTGTTGGATGAGCTGGACAGGGCACAAATATTCTCTAAACTGGATTTGAAATCGGGCTATCATCAAATCAGGATGAGGGAAGAGGATATCCACAAAACAGCTATAAGGACACATGAGGGTCATTATGAATATTTGGTAATGCCTTTCGATCTCTCAAATGCACCCTCTACTTTTCAGTGTCTTATGAATAAGGTCCTGAAACCCTACCTCAGAAAATTTGTATTAGTTTTCTTTGATGATATATTGATATATAGCAAGACAGAAGAAGAGCATTGGGAGCATGTTAAAAGGGTTTTACAGTTGCTTGAATCTAATCAGTTGGTATTGAATGAGAAGAAGTGTTCTTTTGGGCAGAAACAGTTGGCTTATTTGGGGCACATAATCTCTAAAGAAGGAGTGGCAGCAGACCCTAGTAAAATAGAAGACATGACAAACTGGCCATACCCAAAGGATGCTAAGGGATTGAGGGGATTCCTGAGACTCACCGGGTACTACAAAAAATTTGTTAAAGGCTATAGTAAAATAGCCTCACCTTTGAATGATCTTCTCAAAAAGGATAGATTCAATTGGAACTTGGAGGCTCAGAAAGCTTTTGATGAATTCAAGCTTAGAATGACTCAATTGCCTGTGCTGAAGATTCCTGATTTCAATCAAACCTTTGTGATTGAGTCAGATGCATCTGGGAAAGGAGTGGGTGCTGTTCTAATGCAGGAAGGGAGGCCTGTGGCATACATGAGTAAGACCTTATCAAACAGGAATCAGAACAAATCTGTGTACGAGAGGGAGTTGATGGCTATTGTGTTAGCTATACAGAAATGGAGACCTTATTTATTGGGTAGGAGGTTTGAAGTACACACAGATCAGAAGAGTTTGAGATTCCTGACTGAACAGAGAATCTTGGGAGAAGATCAGCAGAAATGGGTGGCCAAACTGCTGGGGTTTAATTTTGTGATCAAGTACAAACCCGGGGTGGAGAACAAGGCTGCAGATGCCCTCCTCTCTAGGAAGGGTCATTTCTATTCTCTATCTGTGGTGACCTGCCAAGAGTGGGAAGGGCTGGAAGATGAATTGTTGGAAGATGACAAATACAGAACTATGTTGCAGAAGTTAATGACCGAACCTGATTCCATCCCTCACTTCAAGGTCAGTCAAGGGCTTCTATACTTCAAGGGGAGACTGGTGATTCCAAAGAAATCTGTAAGGATTGATAGCATTCTCAAAGAGTTCCATGAGTCTGCTATTGGGGGGCATGCTGGGAACTTTAAGATCATGAAGAGGATCTCATCTCTATTTTATTGGGAGGGAATGAGGACAGATATAAAGTAGTACGTTCAACAATGCGAGGTGTGTCAAAGAAACAAATATCAGACCCTGAGCCCAGCAGGATTACTTCACCCTCTACCTATACCCCATCACATATGGACATATCTCAGCATGGATTTCATCGGGGGACTGCCTAGGGCACAAGGGAAGGATAATATTATGGTGGTGGTGGACAGGTTAACCAAGTTATTTCATAGCATTGACTCACCCTTACAATGCTAAAAGTGTGGCAGATTTGTTCATTCAGGAGGTGGTCAGATTGCATGGGTTTCCAAAGACTATTGTGTGAGATAGAGACAGTGTATTTCTCAGTGCATTTTGGACTGAGTTGTTCAAATTAGCGGGCACCAAGTTGAAATACAACACATCATATCATCCCCAAACGGATGGTCAAACTGAGGTGGTGAATAGGTGTATAGAAACCTATCTCAGATGGGGACTAAACCAAGGCAGTGGCCTCAGTGGTTACCATGGGCTGAATTTTGGTACAACACAAATTATCATGTGTCTGCCAAGATCAGCCCTTATAAAGCATTGTATGGACAAGATCCACCTGTCTTGATTAAAGGAGATGTCACTTTGACAGCGGTGGAGGAGGTTAATAGAATGACAGCTGCCAGAAATGAAATGATAAGTGAATTGAAGAATAATTTGGCCAAAGCCCAAAATCAGATGAAGCAAATTGCTGACAAGAAGAGGAGGGATGTTCAGTTGAAGGTGGGTGAATGGGTGTACCTAAAGATCCAGCCCTACAAGCTCAAGACTTTGGCTAAAAGGATGAATCAGAAATTGAGCCCTAGATTCTATGGACCTTTTGAAGTCATTGAGCAAATCAACCCGGTAGCGTACAAACTGAAACTGCCTGAGGATTGTAAGGTGCACCCTGTCTTTCATTTGTCTCTCCTGAAGAAAGCAGTACCCTCTGCCACACCAATACAGCTTTTGCCCAAGTGTTTGTCAGAAGAATGGGAGATGCAGGTCAAGCCAGAAGTGGTGAGGGCAAGCAGAATCAATGATGCCGGCCAGACTGAGGTGTTGGTGCATTGGGAGAATCTGCCAGATTTTGAGGATTCTTGGGAAGAGATACAGCAGCTTCTGAAGCAATTTCCTGACCTCCACCTTGAGGGCAAGGTGGTAGTTTCAGGGGGGAGTGATGATAAGGATCTTGGAAGTCAGCCCAATACAAATAATAGCATTGACTATTATGACCGAGTTTATTCAAGGAGGAAAAAGACTAATAACTAAGATATGTTATATTTCGGGAGTGTTTGCAATTGCTTCAACTTTAAAAAAGTGATTTTTTAAAGTGATTTGGGGAAAAGTGATTAATAGTAAAAGTTGGTAGTGTTTGAGGAAAAAGTGATTCTGAAAAAGTAAAAGTTGGTAGTGTTTGGTAAAATAAGTACTTTTTGTATAATAGAAAAAGTGAAAAGCAGTTTAAAGCACCCTTCCACCTGCTTCCAGCTTTTAGCTTTTAAGTGATTAATTTAAGCAGAAGCTGTCATTTGAAAACACTCTTTTTAACTTTTTTTAAGCCAAAAGCTGAAAAGTGCTTTTTTTAATCAACTGCAAACACTCCTTTCGTATGTGGGGAAGGGGAATACTATAAATAGCAACTATTGTAATAAATGAGGTAGGCTGGTTTTGGCTTTTGTTGGGCTGGGACTTGGAGAGAGGCATCTCTTAAAACTGCCAGACGCTGTTCTCTCTCTTGTTTGTTATACGAACTCTTCCCAATTACTGTAAATCCCTCGTTTTCCCATTATTGTTGCTGGATTACTTTAACGCAGGTCTGATCCTTATCATAAACTCAGTTTAAATCTTCTACTCTCACCCTCTGTTAATATTATGGATGGCTGTGTTCATAGGTTAAAAAAGAAGGAGCTAGCATCCTTAGCTGAATCTGCGAAGGAAGTGCTACGAGATGTTGAAGAATCTGCAAAAAGAGATCATAGCAATAGCACTTCATTGCATTCAAGTCAAGAAAGTATTGCAGAGCAGAAGATGAAACCCTCGAGTGAAAGAGCTAAAATAGTTATCTGTATTCAGGATAACGAGGGCTCCAAACAATATCGTGTTTTCAAGGTATCATCTTCCCACTTCCTCCTGCTAACTAGAGGAAGTGGCTCTAATATAAACTTGAAAGGTTACTTTTGCTTTATAAAGTGGCATAGAACTAAAATAACCAACAATTGGACATTATGTCTTTGATGAATTTCACATGTACAATGTGTGTGGCAACATTGAGGCCATGTTCCATGCAGTACGACTGCATTTGGCTTCAGACATTGTCATTTCCTTTTTGCATGTCACCGACTCCAGATGCATTCAAATATAATGTGTATAATAACTTTTTTTTACCTAAAATATCTCTTTTGTCCATAGGATGATAAGTTCGAGAAGCTTTACCAAATATATGCTGATAAAGCAAAACTTAGCCTGCAAAACATAAGCTTCCGTTTTGATGGGGACAAAGTTAATCTCACTGATACTCCTGATAGCCTTGGGATGGAGGACAATGACATTGTTGAAGCGCATGTAAAACCCAACTGATTCAGGTAAATGAGTAATGTATTTTGCGATTTTCTAGCCATTTTTTTTATGAAGGCCACCATGATCAGCGGATGAGTAAATAATTGAGGACATTAACAGTTTGAGTTAAAAACAAGCTGATTTATGCAGTAGGCCAGTAGGCCTATAAGCTCACCCTCTGGGGGCAAGTAGAAAAATATGAGAGAAGGGATTTGGCGGTACTGGAAATTCGGATTTTCAGTTAGAAGCACATCAGAATGTATTCTAGAATATATGATGCTTTGTGAAGTGTGCACAGGACATTTCACATAGCCTTCATTTGGTTGAAAGGAATTTGGAGAATGGAGAATATGTCGGCCGTTGGGTAGGAGACTAGGAGTGGACTCAGGTGTTTGCTCGGGGTGTTGGAGGGGGGGGGGGGGACAAGTGGAGGATCTATCTATCATCTATGTACTCGCAAGCTTCTCTTATTCTTCCACTCCCCTTTGTGGGATTTTCACGGATTGGTCTTTTTTTCTTGATTTGCTTTCAAACCTTAGGGGGATTTTGAGGAGTGATCTTTTTTCTTGATTTGCTTTTCAACTTTTTTTTTTGCTATAGTAAATTTGGCTTACATTTTTGTTGGTACACAAATAGATTACTTTATTTTTATCAATAACAAAAGACATCAAATATTTTTTTTACATTTTTTCGAAAATATTACTTCTTTACTTCTCTGGAACCAAACATAATACTCCGGGACTCCCTAATATGTACTCCATAGTATATTTTTCAAAGCTTCTTCCCCTCTCCTCTCCCCATTTCTTTTTCGCATGCCTTCACTCTTTTGAACCAAACAAGGGGGGCGTGTTATTTTGAGATGCTCTTATAGAGAGCAGTAATGCCTTAACAGCTTAACTTGATTACTAAGTCTCATGTAGCAATGCAGACATTAACTACGGAGTAATATTATGTTTGCCAATCATTTAATGTATACCACGTATAATATTATAATAATTTATCTCCTTAGGCTACATAACCAAAGAAATAAGGCTCCTTTAAGTTACTTGGTAGTGATTATTAATATTTAATAAAACATAAAACATTCGTTTAGAATTTCTGTATAGAAATATAATTGGTATGGGTGGACATTTAAAATTATGGATTATCTTGATAACGGTCATACTCTCTCTGTCCCGATTTTTCGTCAATCTTCGTGATTTAACCACACAACTTTTACATTATTATTCTAACTGTAAATATTTGACTAGTTTGGTTCCCGTTTCAATAAATTCTAACTCACAGGAATGAAGTTCGCATACATGAAAAACATACATGAAAATGACGTCATCTGGCCATCTCCATTTGAGTGCTTCCGGGTGGAATTTTTTGATAAAATTTTTGAGCTTGTTCTTCTTGAAATCTATATTATGTCCACCAAATTTCTGCTTAAAATTCAATCGGGAAACCAGTTAAATAAATTATTGAAAAACACTTCTCCAAAATATATATAAAAAACACAATGTTTGGGGGCATTTGACTGGCCATATCTCCAATGTCGTTTTTCCGCAGCAGATTGCCTTTTGTGTGCTCTAACTTTTATTTGGCTGATACTTTTCAGGTAGCAGCTTTTTTTTTGTGCTCTAATTTATTAAATGGGATGTGTCCGCGGCTCATTGAAGACTCACAACTTGTATAGTGAATACTAAATTTGGGGAATATAGCACACAATATTTGGAAAAACCCCTTCATTGTGAGAACTAGGATAAGGTTAATACTTGGCTTGTTGAAACTTGGAAGTGCTTTGGCCTATCATGTTTGTTTTTGACCCATTTTCTTTGTTTGCAAAGCGTAATTCGTTTATGTTCTCCTGTATCATACAAAAGCGGTAATATAAAATAGGTTTGGTAGCTAAAGAGACTCAAATTTGGCGGCTTAGATGCAATTAATTTAATTTTAGGATGCTTTTAATTTTTTTTTCAGGGCCATTTAAATCTGGTCTAATTTGATAAACAAGTTGTGTATTTGCATTTTACTATTACCGAATAATTATATGACTTCATTATAAATTTATAACCGATCTTTTCTAATGCGGAGTAATATACGGAGTATGTTTCTAATAGAGCACTTAAAGGGGCAAGCTCTTTGCACTTCCCATCCTGAAACTCTGAAAGTACTTAGGTTATTATCGCTTTTGAATTTTTGATCTAGTTAAATAATACTCCTATTAGTTTTGTAACTTTTGTCGAAGCTGCAACAAAGAAAAGTTATTTTGTTGAACAATAAAATACACTATTATTTAAAATTCAAACACAAAATTATACTCGTACTATTTTGATATGAAGTATGGCTTAACTAGATCAATCTAAAATAACATCATGATTGGGTTTTTAATGTAAAAGAAAGATGGCATTTGATTGAAGCCCACCCACTATAAACATATTATATACAGAGTAAATGAGTAATGAGCTACTTCATACGGAGTAGCTATTTTCACTTCCTGTATCCTAGAATGAAGTCTCTATTTTAATTTATGATATTTTATTGAGGATAAAGATAATCCTTCCCTTATAGTATCCATATTAGTATAAATAACTGAAGTTTAATTGTTTAGAAATTACACTTAAAAAGTAATATTAAAACGTGAAACCAAACATGAGCACCACAACAGCAATAAACTTTTAATGTTGATAATTTTCCTATTATCTCTAAAATAAATCATTTTTAGAATGCACTAGCTAGCTCAAATACATGAAGAGATCTCTCGTACTATTTTTCTCAAGCACATTGCTAGGAGATAAAGAATAGAAGGAACAGGCTAAAGCACATCTTTTGAAAAGGTACTGAGATCTAGCACATCTTATAATTTTTCAGTCTTTCAGTAATGAAAATAAAACAATTAGTACACTTTATTTTACCAAGATTGTCCTAATATGATTTCTTTTACCATTGATTATCAGAAAATATTGAGTCTCATCTCTTAAAATTTTGGAATGACCTGCCATTAAGGCCTGTATACGTGATTGAATTTTTTTAATAGTATCCGGTTCTTAGAAGTTAGATTAGTAGAGATTAGTGGAAGGATTAGATTACACTAGTTTCTGGTAAATCACGAGTCTTAGAACCTGTTGTACCCTACGATATAGGGATTTGTGAGGTGTGTTTCAATACGTTGTGATCTAGAGTGTGAACATTTCAATAGAATGAAGAGTATGGTACCATCAAGCTCTCTTAGGGGACGACTTTCAAAACCGAGGCGCTTTCCGCGCTATCCCCCAAGGGGAAGCAGGCAACAGACGATGTCTCGTGCCGAGGAAACGACCCTCAAACCCTTCGGGATATCGGAAGGTCATTCCCGAAGGGGGAGCCAACGGTTTATTCCGTTGCCTCCCATATAGGACAAGCCTTTCCTAGAAACCAAGTTTCTAGATGCCCCTCCTACATCATTTAAAAAAAAAAGAAAAGAAAAGAAAAAGATGTGTAGGGGGGAAGGAACTCCCCGGATACCATTCTCCCCGGAGGCTCAACAACACTTCGGAATTATGTTCCCAAAGGCTCTTACATCGAAGTCAACTATGCTACATGACGAAAGCTACTCAAGTCAAAGGCGAGTTAAATTTACATCTACCACAAACCGGAGGCTTCATGTCAAAGGCGGAAGATTACCTGGCTCATTTGATGATGAAAAATTTCTAAGTCCACAATTTGGAACCCTTCGGAATACACTCATCAAACCGGAGGCCATTCACAAGGTCTATCGGTGACAAATCTCAAAATAACACAAGTCCATGAACTTGGATCCCCTCGGCAGGTCTACACACCGGAGGATCAAAACATTCTCACATTCGAGGGGTCACTACAACATCTGTTGAAACTTTGTGGAAATTTGGCTAACTTCACTGTTGGCAGCAGGCTTCCAGCCGAAGGCAGCTTTCTACTACTCAATTGGGGGCCTAAGGCTACGCCACAAATCAAAGGCTCACCATGGCTGAGGGCCTAAAGCGTGATTTCACTTAGAAATTTTTCCAAGTCTAATTCATTTTAAGCCCTCGATAAATCTATGAAGGAGAGCAAAGACATTCATCAAACGATTGCTAGACTCCGGAAGCTGCTCCTACAACCCGAGGGCTACAATGGAATCTTACTTAATTTTTTTTTTCTAAGTCCACAACTACGAGCCCCCGGTGACTCTACAATACAACCGGAGGCATGCTGCGATGTTTTACTTGGGAAATTTTCTAAGTCCACAAACATGCACTCATACACAAAGGAAAGGAACGAAGGCATACATTCAAATTCAAAAAGCAAGAGGATATCAATAATCGAAAGCCCGGAGGCATCGCATTCATTCATAAAAAACGAGACATTCAAATACAAAGATGTTTGTTTACAGTTGGCCGGGGCCATGACCTACAAGTAATTACAAATGCAACACTTAGAAAAATTCAGGCTTGAGCTCCTCCAGCCGCATCTTCCTTGGCTTTGGAGGCAGCGTCGTCCTCGATTTCCTCTTCATCATCAACCAAGTTGTATTCCCTCATCAACTCGGAATCTTCCAGTTGATGCCTCTCTTCGCCGGGAGGAAGGGGGGTCCTGACATCTGGCTGCCGAGGGGGGAGACCGTAGGCTGAGGGATCAAACTCGGAGGGGTTGATACCAAAGTGGCCGGCGAGCTTCCGGTAGATCAGACGTTGAGTAAAGAACTCACCCCCGTCGAAATAATTTTTACCCTTCAAGGCCATCCATTCAGATCCGGGGCCTGCTACCCAGCCATCGATGCCTTGCTTTATAACCGAGGCCACCCAGTTCTTGCGCTCCTCGGCTTTCCACCCTTCAGCCATGAAAGAAGCAACTGCATCCTCCTTAGCTTTGGAAACAGCCTCAGATTTGGCCTTCTCGGCTTCCCTGACAGCTAGTTTGGCGGCCTCGGCTGCTTCCTTCTCGGCGTCAGCTCTCCCCTCGGCCCGAGCCTCCACCTTAGCGGCCTCCAGCTTTTCCCCCGCCTGCCTGAGGGCCTCTTCCTGATGGCCTCAGTGTTCTTTGCGACGAGCCTCTTAAGGGCCTCATCGTCTTCCGCCTTCCGGAGGCGCATTTGCCCCACCCTCAAGACATATTCTCCGAGGGCCACGCCTTCCTACAAAGACACGAAGGGGCTCTCAAAGTCAAACCATGCAAAGGGAAAGGACACAAAGATGAAAAATTGCAGGGGATTCAAGAACTTATAGAAACTGAGGCCTGAAGGGCCTTGATTTCGAGGGCCTCGTCTTCGAATCGGCCGAGGGTGGACCGATCCAACGGAGGTGTGGCACCCCTCAGAAATTCCCTCGGATCGAGGGTGCCGTGCATAATAGCAGTCCCCTTCTTGAAGGAGAACTGCACAGTTTCCTGAGGCCAGGCCCCCTCATCGAAATCCTCCAGGGGGGGTGGACTCTGAAGCCTGGAAGGGGGAGGGTTCCTCAATGATCACCAAGGGGGCATCCTTGGTCCCCTCGGCCTTCTTCTTCTTCTTCCTGTTATCCGGAGGCATGACGCCCTTCCCGGCATTCTTTCTTTTGAGCCCCTCGACCTGGGAGCCCCCGACTTCAGCACCGGTGTCAACAACAGCAGCTTCCTTGGAGGGCCCCTCACCCTCTGAAGTCTTGGAGGCCCCAGCCTCCCTAAAATACTTATCCACGGGCTTCTGCTGGGAGGGGGCCTCCTTCTTCTTTGGCACTTTGGCCAGTTTCTTGGATAGACGCGCGAAGGCATGCACGTCCATGAGGTCACCTGCAAAAAACAAGGAAGAGTTAGAATCAGAGTCGGGCAAAAGGATTAAAATTTCTATGTACTAATAACAAGAGCCCTCGGTAACAACCTCCGGCGTTTTGGAACCCTCGATCAATCTCGGGGCACTTCTCGTCTTTCTCCCCCATAAGGCGGTATCGCCGGAAACCTAGCAGGTATAAATCCTCCGGGAGGGTGGCGTCCTTGATAGCAATGACCTTGTCGGACCCCTCTGGTTTGGCACTGAGCTTCCTGTCAGCCTTGTCGAGGGCCGCATTACCCACCTTCGGGTGCCTCTTGAAGTGATCGCGCAGGCCCCTTGGGAACGGTTTCTCGGCCATCCAAAGTTAACAGAACTTCTCCTTCCAATCTTTGTGGGAGGAGGGGATCTCAGAGAAAAGCTTCCAAGCCGGAACTTGCTGCAAATTGGCATACCCCCCGGCGTGAGAATGTCCTTCCCGACACAAGTTGAAGGAAAGAAAAGACTGGTCTAGCGTGGCGTCCACCTCCCGGGTTCGGCAGAGGGATAAGAATCCCGCAAGATAGTAGTGGCTATTGGGCGTGAGTTGGCAGGGGGCTAGCTTCACGAACCTCAAATATTCTAGGACGAAGGGATGGAGTGGGAATCTGAGGCCCAACTCCACCGAAAGCAGGTGCATAGAGAAACAGCCCTCCAGAGGAATGGACAGTAGATCTCTAGGTCCCGGTTCAATAACCTGTGCCGAAGGCCCTACCAAGAACTGCGTCGCCTGGTACTCAGCAGCCGTCACCTTCGTCTTTACCGCGAGGGCAGCGGTATTGAGGTAGGAGTGACCCTCAGGAATGCCGACGGGTCTCCCGGCATTGACAGCCGCCTGCTTCTTCTTCGGTGCCACCCTCAATTTCTTCTTTCTTCTGCCGGGGGAAACGCTCAGGGGCTCCGGGTCCAAGGGCCGGGAACTGCTCGCTTCGCCAGCGCCGCGGGAGGGAAACGCAGCGACCGTCACCTTCTGCCGCTCCTTTTCCTCCTCCTCCTCAACAACTTGAACTGCGAGGGCCATCTCCTCGTCCTCCACCACCTGCTCGAACTCTTCAGCTACTAGTTCCGTCCGGAGGGTGGCTTGGATTTCCTCGGCTACAACGGCTTCATTCCCAACTGAGGATTGTTCGTTTGAGGACTCCACCTCAGAATAGCTCTCCGACTGGACCGGGGCCTCCACAGAAATGTCTTGGGAGTCGCTTGCCGACGACATCCTTCGGTGTTCAGAAGATAGAAGTAGGGGAAGTGAAAGGGACTGAGGGCTCCCTAAAATACTCTAACGCTAAAGCTAGGAGAGAAAGGAGCAGAAGAGGAACTGACCTCGGAATACTGAGCTTAGTCGAAGTGAGCTTTCTCTCTCTAGAAGTCAAATTGCCAGAGCTCCGCTATGATCTCAAGAATGCGCAAAGGAAGTGAGGTCTGGCCTTAGGGTATTTATAGGCATCCGGGCCTCGAAGACTGGGCCTCGATTTGAAAGCACATCATTACGGGCCGCCGGTTCAACCAATAGACGGCTCCCGCCCACCTTCAACCAACGACAGCCGGCCACGTCGACCCTTCTTCCACCAGACTGGAGCACCTTCATGCCTCATGCTCTTCAACCTCTAGTTACATGACCATCTTCAACCTCACCCATAACACTTGTAATTTACCCACAACCCTTCTTTTTGAAAGGTTACGCTCAACCCTTTTAAAATTGAAAGCAAATTCTTTTGCTTTGATTTAACATCTAATAGGTTGTGTATGAATCAAATTCAAATTAATACTTCATATAAATTTCTCCACTTTGTTGATGTTGGTTGATGGAGTAATTGGTTTCAAGCCGGAACTTGCTGCAAATTGGCATACCCCCCGGCGTGAGAATGTCCTTCCCGACACAAGTTGAAGGAAAGAAAAAACTGATCTAGCGTGGCGTCCACCTCCCGGCTTCGGCAGAGGGATAAGAATCCCGCAAGATAGTAGTGGCTATTGGGCGTGAGTTGTTAGGGGGCTAGCTTCACGAACCTCAAATATATATATATATATATATATATATATATATTGTGGTTCAGGTGAGAAATGCATCTAATGTGAGAAATGAGAATGAATCTCAGCCATTAGATTCGCGAAGTTGCACTAAAATGATTTGATGTTGCAGTGATATTTAAATTTTGCACATGTTGCACTAAAACTGTTTCATGTTGCACTAATATTTGACGGCGTTGCACCGAAATAGCTTCATGTTGCACTAGACACGTCTAATACGAATTTTTCAGAAGTATTTACAGAAATGCCACCGTGCTAGATTGCATATTTCAGTGCATCATCAAGTGTCTTTTACTGCAACTTAGTAAAATCCAATGGCTGAGATTCATTCTCATTTCTCACCTAAAGGGTTCTTCTCACTTGAACCTTACCCTATATATATATATATATATATATATATATATATATATATATATATATATATATATATATATATATATAGAGGAATGTTCATGTCAGGCCGGCCTGACGGGCTGCCCCGTCCGGCCGAGCCCGTTTGGGCACCTTCCCGGTGGAATTTGTTGATGAAATTTTTTTGAGCATGTTCCTCATCAAGTCTAGTTTGTCCATACCAAATTTCAGCTCAAAATTCGATCGGGAAGGTCGTCATATGATTTTTGCAAGTTAACTGGTCCGGAATATGTATTTTCCGGACCAGTTAACTTGCAAAAATCATTTGACGACCTTCCCGATCGAATTTTGAGCTGAAATTTGGTATGGACAAACTAGACTTGATGAGGAACATGCTCAAAAAAATTCATCAAAAAATTCCACCGGGAAGGTGCCCAAACGGGCTCGGCCGGACGGGGCAGCCCGTCAGGCCGGCCTGACATGAAGAGCACTCTATATATATATATATATATATATATAGGGGGGGGGGGGGGGAAGATCACATACAAACCCGACTTCCGGTGCAAACTACAAACTATTCACGTACGTCCAGATTAGCCAAATCAATGGTTGTGCATATAGCACACACCGTATGAATTTGTAAGGTGAGATACATGGAATCAATGGTTGTGCCTTTAGGAATGGACTGTGATCCTCTTTTTATTAACTAGAGATATTTATCTCAATTATATGATTGGGACAAGCTTTATGACATTTTTATAAATAAACTGAACTTTTCTTTCACCTCAAAGTCTGCATTATCTGAATGTGCACCCTTTTCTTAAACTTTCCATGTGAGGTTTGGATTGTGAGATTGACACCCACAACAAATTTCAAGACGACTTTTGTTTCAAGATTCATAATTTTGCTCATTTTTGGCAGTTACACGGCCGCGAGAACAGGTGGCTGATGCAGAAACAGTGCTTGGACTTACCGGCTCTTTGGTGGATTCTGTTAAGTCGCATCTCAAAGGAAATGTGACACCTTCAGGGTTTGTTTACCATCTTCTTAAACATTATGGAAGAAGAGGGGGTCGTGGTAAGAATGCAGGGCCCATACTACGCTGGGAAGAAATTGCTTTACCCTTTCTCAAGGATGATTCAGATTGTAAGACCATGTAAGTCAACACCTTCTTCTTAGATTTTATGTGAGTGTGTTGTTTCTATAGAGTGGGGAGCAAAACTGTCTTTTCTGACATTGTAAGTGAATTGGTGGCATTCTTTCTCAGGGTTGGACCAATGAGTTATAAGATAAAGCTTGAACCAGTATATTGTATGATCAAGCCTGACGCACTGAATTATGTTATCAAGCATAGGGGGATCAGAAATGAGATTAAGAAAACAAGATGTACTCCTTATGTTCGCCCGGTGAAGGTTTTTTTTCTCTTCCTCGCAACCCGTTTCTTTCTATTTCATATGAGTTTGATATAGAAGTGTATTACCGTATTAAGACTTGATATTTGATTCTAAAAGGCCAACATAATAAGAGTTTATAGTGTTGTATTTGACCCATGGGGAATGTCTTATCAAAGTGTGCCATAAACCTCACCTCTTTGAGTAAGACTTGGGGATCATTTAGTCAAGTGATTTTAAGAGAAATGTCTAGATTTACTTTCATTTCTATAGTTTTCTTTTCTAGCTGAACAATCAATATATAGTCAATTATCGGTTTCGTCATGCATTCCCTTTTTTCTTTCTACAGCTCCTTGATAGCACTGCTGAGTGGAAGTCAAATACGGAAACGAATGTTTCATCAATGTTTGAGACCATAAAAGAGAAGAAATGTGTCAAGCTTGAGAATCTTGTCCTTAATAGGATTTCCTATGCCCAGACCATTGAAAACATATTTGTGCTTTCTTTCTTGGTAAATGACAGGCGGGTTGCTATAAGATTGGCTGAGAATGGCTCTTATATCGTCTGTAAGATAAATAATCTCATATCATTGTATTCAACATGTCAAGTATTTAGATCAATCTTATCCTCTTTACTTGTTTTTTCCTTACGTTTACAGCTACAAGGGATGCAGCAGCATGTGTGGTTCTTCCTACCAATGAGCCGTACCAGAATTCAATATTCAGATTTGATTACATAGATTGGAAGGTGTGAAATAATAAAAGTGGAGAATAATGGCTTACCTCACCGGTAGCCCTCACGTCATATTTATACTAATAATATAATACAAATGGGCCTAACTATGTCCGCTATTACACCCCCTCAATCTGTGCGGGGGAAATAACGTGCAGATTGGAACGTAAAAATTCAAAACGCTGACTAGACAAATTTTTGGTAAATATGTCCGCTAGCTGAAATTGAGTAGGAATGTATTTGACTGTCAGATCCCCATGGGCAACACGTTCACGAACAAAATGGTAGTCTATCTTGATATGCTTGCTGCGATCATGCTGAATAGGATTGACTGCAAGATAAGATGCTGAAACATTGTCACAAAATAATTTTACAGGATTTGGTAAAATAATCCCCATGTCGTACAGCAGGGATCGGATAAACAGGGTGTCTTGGACGGTGTAAGCCACAACCCGATACTCAGCCTCAGTAGATGACTTGGAAACCGTAGGTTGCTTCTTGGAACGCCAGGAAACAAGATTATCACCAAGAAAAATAGCATAACCTGTAGTAGAGCGGCAACTATCTGGGCATCCTGCCCAATCCGCATCAGAATAAGCAACGACCACAGATATACTTTGACCCGAGCGTAACCATAGGCCATGCGAAGAAGTACCCTGTAAATACCTGTAAATTCTTTTGACAACAGCAAGATGAGTAGTACGTGGAGCATGCATAAACTGGGAAACAAGGTGAACGGCATAAGTAATATCCGGTCGGGTAATAGTCAAATACTGCAATGCACCTACCATACTGCGATACTCAGTACCATCACTAAGAAGATATCCATCAGTGAGAGATAAAGTGGTGCGGGACGGAAGAGGAGTACGTACTGGTTTAACTGTATGGAGATGAAAGCGGTGTAGAAGATCAGTAGTATATTTTTGCTGAGAGAGAAAGAGACCAGCAGAGGTACAACTAGCCTGAATACCCAAGAAATAATGAAGATCACCAAGATCCTTCATAGCAAACTGACCGGATAAAGTATGAATGATCTGACTGACCAGAGAGGGAGAACTACCAGTGATAAGTATGTCATCAACATATAATAAGATGTAAATAGTCTCGGACGGGGACCTAAAAACAAACATTGATGAATCAGATCGGCTCTGGGAAAAACCTCGGGATAATAAGAAGCCACTAAACCGGTGAAACCATGCTCTAGGTGCTTGTTTCAGACCATAAAGTGCCTTACGGAGACGGCAAATATGAGTGGGAAACTGAGGATGGACGAAACCAGGTGGTTGACGCATATAGACTTCCTCGGTAAGGTGACCATGAAGAAAGGCATTTTTGACATCTAATTGACGCATTGTCCACCCCAAAGAAATAGCAACAGAGAGAACTAAACGCACAGTGGTTGGTTTGACAACAGGACTAAATGTTTCAGAGAAGTCTATTCCAGCCTGTTGATTAAAACCCTGAGCGACCAAACGAGCCTTATGGCGCTCTATAGAACCATCAGATAAATATTTTGTCTTATAAATCCATTTACAACCTACCACATTTTTAGTCTTGTCACTAGGTACTAAATCCCAAGTGTTATTAGCAATAAGAGCGTTAAATTCATCGGCCATGGCTGCCCGCCAAACTAAACTTTTGTTTGCTTGAGAAAAACATGTAGGATCAGTTGGGAGAGCTAAAGTGTTCAAGGTAAAAATTGTTTTAGGTTTAAAAATGCCATCTTTAGCCCTCGTGCGCATTGGGTGAACATTGGGAGCCATCGGAGGGGAGGGTGGTGGTGTAGGAGGCGAATTGGAAGTGGGGCTAGCCGTGGAGGAAGACGGGGAAGGAGATGGGGGCGGACTGTATGCCGGGGTTGATGGTCGTGGGCTGATAGAGGGTGAGGGTATGGTGGCCGGGCTGGATAAAGACGAAGGAATAGACGGTTGGGGAGATGCTGGTGCGGTACTGGGTGTGTAGGGAATGATTTGAGAAGGTAATATACTGGTGGAGTGGGAATTATTGTGGGACGAAGCAGGGGGTAGTGGTAAGTGATCCGAAGTATGTGTGGGGGACCAGGAAGAGATTAAGGAACTGCTGGTGGTTGGCTGAGAAATTAAGTTAGGGTAGGGGAAATTGGTTTCAAGAAAAACGACATCCCTGCTTATATAGACTCTTCCAGTCTTAGGATCGAGACAACGGTATCCCTTGTAGCCCGGTGCGTAACCCAGAAAGACACAAAGTATGGAACGTGGGGAAAGTTTATTTGGCAACGTAGCAACTATGTTAGGAAAACATGCACAACCAAACACACGTAAAAAACTATACTCTGGAGGTTTAAGAAAAAGTTTCTCGAACGGAGACACATTACCCAAAACAGGTGTGGGTAGCCGATTAATAATGTAAGTAGCTGTATATAAAGCATCTACCCAAAAGGAGGTAGGAAGATGGGCAGTAATTAACATGGTCCGAGCTAATTCAAGCAAGTGACGATGCTTACGTTCGGCCACACCGTTCTGAGCAGGAGTATCCGGACAAGATTTTCTAAATAAAATACCACAATTGTGAAAATGTGCATGAAAAGAGGAATTTACAAATTCACCACCTCCATCACTCTGAAAACATTTAATTTTACAGTTAAACAAATTTTCAACTAAGTTTTGAAAATTACAAAAATGAGTAAAGACTTCAGATTTTCTATGCATTGGATAAATCCACGTGAAACGAGAAAAATCATCAATAAAAGAAACATAATATTTAAAACCTAAATTAGAAGACACAGGTGATTGCCACACATCTGAATGAATAAGTTGCATAGGAGTACTAGAGTCATGAATAACATCTGAAAAGGGAAGACGATGGGACTTGCCCAGTTTACACGAAACACAGTCATGAGAAAATAAAGTTGAACTAGTAATTAAATTATTTTTCCTAAGAACAGATAAAATGCGATCCCCACAATGACCAAGTCTTTGGTGCCAGACTGGACCAGGAACAAGTGTAGACTTGAGAGCAATCGGAAGGGCTGGCTGGTGAGCGGCTTTGAGGGGATAAACACGGTCTTTATGAGAGGCCTGGAGGAGGATGGCTCCCGTGTGGTTGTCCTTAACAATAAAATAATTTTTATTAAAAATAACAGAGCAATCATTATCCGCACACAACCTTTGAATAGATAATAAATTGTATTTGAGTTGCGGGACATGAAACACCTGTTTTAAACTTAACGGGCGGCCATTGGTGGATAAATTAATTGTGCCAATATGAGAAACTTGAAGATTAGTACCGTTAGCAACTTGAATAGAATGTGGGCCATTATAAACGGATTTATTTAATAAAATACCTTCTGAGGGAGTCATATGAGCCGAAGCTCCTGAATCAGGATACCATACAGAGTCGTTTGATTCACCCGTCGGGAGAGCCGCCAGAGCTGGAGTATTTTGGTTAACAAAACGGGAGCATGACAGTGCTGAGTGACCTGGAGAAAAACAAATCTGACAGACAACGGGTGGAGGGGGACTCTGAAAGGAATTCTCAACTGAAGGAAATCCTGAAAAAGTGTGGTTAGTAACACAAGATGATAAAGCATAAGTATTGGCCATAACACGACAAGTATTACTTAAAACCGTACCTGAAAACCCATTATGAGACTGTCCACGAGGAGGAAAGGGTTGTTGGGGCGCTGGAGGAGGCATCTGCCAGCCGTAATACCCAGGTGGAGGAGCAAAGGCCTGCTGCGGTCCACCATATCCTCCACGACCTTGCTGCTGCCCGCCATATCCACGACCTCTGCCGCGATTTCCACGCGGTCTGCCACCCCGAAAGCCACGACCTCCGTATCCCCTGTTTTGCTCACCCCTCGACCGGCAGGACGTGGTCCTACGGCTGGATCAGTTGCTACAAAAGCTTGATGCCCAGGGTGTATATTTTGGGATCGGAGATAGAGAGCACGCTGCTCCAACGCTAGCAATTGTGGGCGAAGACTGTCCACGGTAAAACTATCCGGGAAGAGTGTAATGGTGGTAATAAGGGACTCATATTCCTTTCCAAGGCCCTGAACAGTGGCTGTGAGGAGTTCCCGGTTGCTAACTGCTGAATTTATGCATGCTAGGGAATCGGCTAAATTTTTAATTTCGTGGAGATAGTCATCCATTGATTGAGACTCCTTTTTCTTAAGTGTGTTTAACATTCGTTTTAGTTCAATGGAGCGGGCAATGCTCTCTGCCATAAAACGGGTTTCCAACCGTTCCCAAATTAAAGCGGAATAACGAATATCATGAACCTCAACCAACATATCTCGGGATAGAGTAGCAAATAACCATGAGCGGACAGTTTGATCAATTCTTAGCCACGCACTATATTCGGGATTGGGAATGTCACGACCAGTGGGGTCCAAAACAGAGGCAGTTGGGGCTGTTATAGAGCCATCTAAAATTCCCAATAATGCATGCGAAACTAAGAATGATTCAAATTGTGTACGCCACGGAAGATAATCCTCAACCTTGGCTAGTCGAGTAGTGACTATGTTGGTAACATTAGGTGTAGAGAATGACAACTGAGATGCTAAACTAGCCAAAGGTGAAACAATTACCGTAGCAGGGTCTGGTCGAGTGATTGATTGTGGCTGGAGAGCATTAACGGCTGGATTACCAGCCCATGTAGGGCCTGAAAACGCTGGCAGAGAAGAGGAAGAGGAAGAGGCCCGAGCCGGAGATGATGTCCTAGCGTGAATGGGAGGCGGCGGCAGCGTTACTGTTGGGGTCCATGAAAAAGGCTCCGGCATGTTGAATAAGTTAAGCGAAGGCAGCGGCGGAAGCTGAAGCCGAGATGCTGATAATTGTGGAGAAAGCGTCACGCCTGAGGATGTGGGCAGCACCATCGGTGAAGTGGGCGCCGAAATTGGAGGCATCATCGTTGAAGAAGGCGTCTGAGTTTGCGGCTGCACCGAAACGTTGGGCGCCGTGATCGACGTAGATGAGACGGTCGACATTAGGAAGTAGGGTTGAGAGACCTATGCGACTGATACCATGTGAAATAATAAAAGTGGAGAATAATGGCTTACCTCACCGGTAGCCCTCACGTCATATTTATACTAATAATATAATAAGGTTTAATACAAATGGGCCTAACTATGTCCGCTATTAGAAGGTAGTTTGATATTGAAATCTAAGATGCCTTTGGAGATGCATCTAAATAAAATCCTTTCAGGGTTAGATTAAAATGGAAATATGATACTAATGTGGGTGGGGTTAAGGTGACAGTAATGATAAGCAGATAATATATACACTTCACAATTTAACTGGCAGGTTATGTTAGATTTGGTGCCAGATGGTGAGGAGCTGATGCCCCACAGGGATCCTTTCAAGTTATCCTGATTACAACTGCAACCTCCTCCTGTATATGCTTGCTGTATTTAGCACTTTTTTGTCAGCTGCTGCCAACAACAGTATCCAAATTTTGTAAATATTATGTTGTAAAATGATGCATTTCTAACAGCTTGCCTCCAGATATGGAGATTTTTTGTTTTTTGTTTCTGTCTCTTGCTGCTAAAGTTTCTGCCAAAGGTGCATATTTTTGTAAGTAAGCTAGTTGTTAGCTTGAATGGTGGTGACTGATTTGCTCGCCCCTAACATTTTAGCCTTTTAGGGGTGTTTCTAAATGCAACCGCAAATCTACTATTCAAAGTCACAATTTTTTATTTTTATTAAATAAGTATTTATAAGTTTCCCATCTGCCCCAACTTTTTTCTCTTCTGCTATAGGCTCCAGTGGCGTATCCAGGGTGGGGGCAGGGGGGGCAGCTGCCCTCATTCAACCCCTATGTATATATATTCAATAAATAATTTTATATATATGTGTGTGAAATATGAATTAGTTATATGGTTAATATGAGTAAAGTAATGAAAGTTCTTCACAGCCTAGCAGCAAAGAAGGTATGGCTATTTAGTATTTACGTGAGCTTTGGACTTTGGAGAGGTCATTGGTTGGAACCTGGCCTCAAGTTTGTCTAAGTTTTGTGGTTATTTTGCGTTTTTCTAAGTTTTGTGGTTATTTTGCTCTTTTAAAGCCTTAAATTCTTTAAAGTGACTCTACATATTTTATTTAGTTTTTGTCTTTTAAAAAATATTTTCATTCATAAAGTTCAACAATTACGGAGTACTTTTTTTGTACACAATTATTGAGGTTTATTCCTTCAACCCCCGGGTTCAACACGTAAGCCCAAGGATTTCGAATGGAGTATGTGATTAAACTAGCCCAACAAGCAGATGATATGGATTGGGAAAGCAGTAAGGTAGCAAGTGAATGACTAGGTATTATTATCTCTTAATAACTCCCTAATACAATACTTTCCGCTAAGGCTCCGTCGGCCGTTCGTCTTACAAGGCAGTAGAAGTGCTGCGAGTAAGGATACTATAGCTAGAGTGCTAAGAATAGAAAGTTGCCAACCCTTTACAATGAAATAAATGCTTCTATTTATACCCGCCAATGGGCAGGTGGCTATGCTGACGTGGAGGCCTGCGGACCGCTTGTGTCCCAACCACCAAATCTTCTGCATTAAATGCACTTCCCGCCAGAATCTAGGCTTCCCGCCTAAATAATGGGGACGTTCGTCCGCCAGGGGGTGAGCTGGGTCACTCCAAGTGACCCTCAAGAGACTTCGGCTGTTCGTCCCCTGACCTTGGTGGATTCTCTCCATGTGGACTGGATCTCCCCCGACGATCATGGGCCTGCCCAGGAGACGTTCGTCGTTATCCCTGATGGCCAGTGGTCCTGCCCCTTACCTCTGCACATACGTTCGTCGCGATGGGCCGTTTGAAACCTGGACCCCCCCAATTCCAGACGTTCGTCTCTTCCCAAGGGTCATGGGCCTGCGCCCAGCCTGGTCCTGGCATGACGTGCGTCCGATAGAAAAAAGGGGTTAATGGGCCGGACCTCGGCCTGGGCCATTATCCCAACACAAGTCCCCCACTTCTGATGTTCTGGGCATGCGCAGGACATAAGGAAGTATGGATGCCCCGAAATGGACGTCCGTGTCTTGATACTTGTGTCTTATTGCATCTGGCGGAAGCGTACGCTCGTGGTCATGGTGCTTAACAGCTGTCGACGGTTCAGGAAACGAGGTGACGGCTGCTGTAGCGGCGGTGCATTTTCCGAGGAAATGCCATCATTACGCTTTCGTCCCACGCACAGCGCGTGAGACGGAATACGCTCCTTGCCACGTGTCCGTCCCTCGTTGGTCCCCCCATCGGTGTCTCTCCTATAAATGCCGGGTTTTCCCTCTGGGTTAGGGTTCCCGATTTCTGCTCTCTTGTCTTCGAATTTCCGCAGCTCTTCAAGTCTTCTCCCGCTTCCAAGTTCGGCTAATCCCTCTGAGGTAACTTCCATCTTCTGCTTCTTTTTCTTGTCTTGAATTCTTGTCGCGATGGTTTCGATGGAGATCTCGTCAAGTTCTGGTTCGGGTTCATCGGATTCCTCCTCGGGTTCCTCTTCCGACTCCGGTTCACGCTCTTCGGGCGAGGTTAGCACTTCCGGTAGTTCTGGCTCGGCCCCTACCGTGGGAATCGTTCAAGCCGGGAAAACCCAAATTGGTGTTGTTGCGACTGTCCCTGGTGAGGAGGGTGCTGATTCGGGGGAGCAAAACAGTATGGCTCTCGATGTGGTGGATCCCGTGGTTGAATACGGGGAACAGGAGTCCGCCAGTGAGGACGGTCGTCCGGACGGATATGATTCTGGGGTCGAGGCCCAGGACGGTTCCGACATCGAAGTTTTTGACCTCGGGCTAAAGATAGATGTGGGGAGGCATCTATGCCCGATCAAGAATGTCCTCTGTCATGAGCAGATCTTCTCACCGGTGGCCCTTAAAAAGCTCAAGGTGTTCTTCCCCCCTCCGTCCGTATACAGCCTCCGCGGCGCAACCCACGTGATGAGGAGACGTCCAGGGATGATTATGGTGCTTCTGGACTCCATCGAGGCTGGGCTGCGTTTCCCTCTCCATCCGTTCTTTGTGGAATTCTTTTGCTGTTACCAGATAGCCCCCGCTCAACTCATGCCGAATTCCTATCGGTGGCTCTCCGCCTTCCTAGTCCGTTGCAAGGACAATGGGGTCACCGCCACTTTGGATCTGTTCCATTACTTCTATCGGCTCACCCCCCAGAATTCCGACGGTTTCCTGAGCATTGCAGCCCGTCCGAAGCGGAGGTTGTTCAGCGGGGCACCGAGTTCCATTCATGATTGGAAAAATCGGTTCTTCTTCGTGCGGTATGCGGATGCTCGCATGCCATTGCGTTGGAACGGCTATCCGCCCAAGATAGGATCTCCGGAGCTGACCAACGATCTGGAGGAGGACATTAGAAAGATCTCGACGGGCGGCATCCGGCCCTTAGATGACTTCCTAACTTTCGAGGCACTCGCCGCGGCAGGAATAGGTACCGCCCATGCTCTCGGACATCTCCCCTTCTACGCTCGTCTCGGGGTATTGGGCGGTCCTGACCTCCGAGGTGAGTTATTCCTGACGCTCGTCCATCTAACACATTTTCCCCGTTTCTCCTTTCAGGTCTTCCCCCAACTCAAGAACAAATGAATCACGAGAAGCTCCTCAGGACGAGGAAAGGTAAAGGTGCTGCCGCCGATGCTGCCCTTGCCAAAGCCAAAGCCGTTCAGGCAGCCGACTCCAACTCTTCCGCCTCCCAGGCCGATCGTCGCACCGTGGAGGCGGAGCAGCACCTCATTGCCACGGTGATGGCACAGGGGTCCCAGGCCCCAGTCCTTGACTCTGGCGTCCCCGAGGTCGTGGTGCCTCTGCAGGCCGTCCATCCCCAGGAGGGGGAGAAGGTGGACAAGAAGTCCAAAAGGCCCAGGGGAACTGGTTCTTCGGCCCCTGAAGGACAAGGGGTGATCCCCCCCTCTCTCGGTCGTCCGGCGCATGACGTTTGGCAGGAGGTTGCCTCTCTGGCCGGCGTGGAGATGCCTCCCCGCACGTCTTCGGAAGCTTCCAATGCGGCTCTGGCTGCCGCTCTTCAGGTAAGACCTCGCTCCGCACATGTTGCCTGATTACTTCATTTTAATGTCTTGAAGTCTCACCCCCCGCATCTGTTTTGTAGGTCGGGCTCTCCGTTCTGCAATCTGAGGCTGCCCGAGACGCCGAGGTCCTCCAGGCGAGGAATAAGGCAGATGCTGCCCTGAAGAAGGCGAGAGAGGCCGCTCGTCTCCAGGAGAAGGAGCTGGCGGCCAAAGACAAAGAGCTGCAGGCCGCCCTGAGGGTAGCCCGTGAGTCCTCCGCGAAGCTCGCGGTCCTCGAGAAGGCCGGGTTCAAGCTCGTCCCAGCTCTCCCCGCTCCCAAGGACGAGGCCCCTGAGTGGCTCGTCGATGATACCGGGTACCATAATTCTGGGGCCTTCATGATTGCCGCCCAGAGGTATCTCGGCGGCGCCTTCGGCGATGTATTCGCCGCCGAGCTGCAGAAGCAGGCGCCGAAGGATCGGCTCAAGTTTGGGGTCCGGGTTCTAGAGAGTGCGCCCCTGGCTGAGAAGTTCTTATATGATGTCGGGGATTGCTCCTTCGTCATTGGCTACAATGAGGGGGTGAAAGCCACATTGCCGGTGTTTGGCGCTCTTCAGGGCCCCCGATTTGATCTGGCCGAGCATACTTCAGACCCAGAGCTGATCCGGGCCGTGGGCAAGCTAAAACGGGACGCCCGGCGGGAGGAGGCCAGAGCCAGAGGGGAGGTCCCGGAGCCCCCGTCCCCTGAGCCCGAGCCCGAGGAGGAAGAAGAAACCATCCCTGGGGGATCCCGGCCTATTTCTCCAAATTTTGTGTAATGTAGCTTGTAGTTTCCTTGTTTTGATCCTGTACTTATCCGGCCGGTAGAGCCGAAGAATATACAACTCTTTTTGCCTCATCATTGTCTCTACGTTCATGAACCCTTTTTATTTCCTTTCTTCGTTGGTAGCTTTCTGTTTTTCTTGGGGACGTTCATGTCCACAACTCGCCAATGCATCCCAATCTTTCGGGATACGAACGTGTGCCTGAGAGCACCACCCATGTGTACCGTTCCCAACGCCGTTCGTCGGAAGGAAGACGTGCAGGGATGCGACCGTATTCTTTCGAACCAGTTGATGAAGATGCCCGTCCCTTGGCTACTGGCATACCCATTCGTGGGGCCGTTCACGTCCATACTCCGTTCGTATCGGGATATGAACGTATGCTTGGGAGCACCACCTATGTAACTATTCCCCCATACGTACGGGTTGTGGCCGTAATCCCCCGGATCAGAGTTGGCGAAGACGCTCCTCCCGTGGCTTCTGGCATAACCATCCGAGTAGTGCGCGCCCAACTTAAATTTGGCGGGGCGACGTTCGTCTGTTCGACCAGGTGTGGAGATACGAATGCGCCTCTCCGAACAATGCCTTGATGGAGGAGTTCGCCGCTTCCGGAATAGCGTGACCTTTTACGCTTGCGCTTAAGCAGACATCCCTTTCGGACGTGTGTCTGACGTGAACGTGGGGTGCTCATGTCTACGCGCGTCTGATGTGAACATGGGGTGCTCATGTCTACGTGCATCTGATGTGAACATGGGGTGCTCATGTCTACGCGCATCTGATGTGAACATGGGGTGCTCATGTCTACGTGCGTCTGATGTGAACATGGCCTGTATGTACGCTCTCTGTTTGCCCCTTCTGGGGACGTTCGTGGTATCAAACCAGATTCCTTCGCAGTGACTGTGAGG